CGTTCAGAGATGTAACTATCTGTGTCGCTGTGGTCACTCTCCATGTAGCATGCTAATGCTAGCTGCCTGTCACGTGCTCTCATCCTGGCCACACCTCTAACCCCCCCCTCCCCTACCCACTTTGATGCATTTTTCAAATTTCGCCTTGGGGCGGAGTTATCTTTTCACAGGGGGGTAAGATACACTTTAAATAAATGTGGAAAGGTCAAATGATGATGCCATGACTTTGTAAACTTTGATGCGTTAATTGACAAAACTGAAGTAAATGGAATAGTTCCAGGAGTAACTATGAAAGGGCTTGTCATGTAGTATTCAACATGAATTAAGATTTGAGTTTACTATTTGTTGGCTAAAAATGGCTGAGTTATGGTCAAGTCTACCGTTCATCTATGGTGGCCATTTTGGATTTTTTTATTTGGATTCAGTATGTGATGAAGATCATTTTCAGCTACCACCACACCAAATTCCAGGCCAAACTGTCAGGCATATTCTATACTATAATAAAGTAACTGTCACCTTCAGCTGTTATGGAAAGGCTGTTTTTATGTATAAATCCAAAATTTATTTGACTTCACATCACAGTTGTTTCTAAACACCTTGAAATTGGCCTCGTTCTCTGTAGGAACCTCCTTCCAATTCTGTCACGCCCATTTCAGCACGTCATCCCAACAAAGCTGAGGTGCGTTGTATTTTGTTGTAATAACAATAAAAAATAGCAACATTATACAATTTTGGTTTTGGAAAATGGCAACTCAGGATGCAAAAGAATTTACAAAGAATGTATGAATGAATGCTAAAATTATATTGAAGTATACATATATAAAATTAAATATGTTATTGGAAACAAATCTACATAAGCATATAGATATTTTGTAGATATTGCACAACTTTTAATTAAACAGTTTTGTTACATGTGAAACTTTGGCTGTGTCCAAAACANATATCTTCTAATCTCTCTTTCACTCTTTCTCATTTCATTTCACTTTTTTCTTTCTCTTTCTTTTTCTCCTTAAAAAAGCCACTGATGATGAAGAAGCTAAGATACTAATATTCAGATATTCAGTTCTGCTTTCTACTGAAGTGGCAAAAAAAAAAAGAAAAAAAGCAATAAAACAATGTACTGATATAAGGGAATTTAAGTTGTACTTTGGAATACTAGAGTACTTTTAAATCATGTCCTTTTGAATACTAAGTATTTTCAGAAGTAATTACTGCAGTACTTTAACTTGAGTARATTTTTGACCGAGTTACTTTTACTTGTAGTTGAGTAAGCTTTGACCATGAGTATCAATACTTTTACTCAAGTACTAGAGTTGAGTACTTTGTCCACCATTGGTTTTAATAGTAGTATTTTTTTCAGAAATATTGGGTTTAGTTTATTAGTTTTCAGACAGATTTAAAACATATTCATAAAATATTACAAATCAATGAAAGAAACTTTAATAACTCTACATTAAAAGCTTCAGTCTGCAGCTGTGTTCTTTAATGACAGAAACACACAGGAGGGTCAGAGTCAGGATTCAGTAACCTCAGTCTGGAAGTTCATTATATGAATACATAGCTTTCCATATATGCTTTTTCTCACTGCTTCATTTAATGTGGACATTTTAAAGTGGACAAATCTGGTCTTTTTTTAGTTGTCCTGCAAACATTTGTGTCTGTAAATAAATCCTGTGCAAATTTCTGCCTCTGTTTCAGTTTGACTKATAAAAMCGTTTCAACTCTCAGCAGAAAAGGTTTGATTACATTTTGTAGCTTTAATCAGGCTCCAGAACTTAGTGTTTTATGTGTCAAAGTTCAAGTTTGAATCAGAAAACTGTGTTTTTAGTTTGATCTGTTCAATAGAAGCAGCTTCATGTTGTTGTGAAGCTGTCAGTCACACTGATTGTGACTTTTGTACCTTTTAGTGCCACTTAGTGTAGTGTYGGTACGGTTCGGTACGGCTCCAAACCATTTCCRTTAGACCAGATCCATGGAACCRGCACTTTTTTTAGTACCTACTTCATTGTGGTTCCAACCGGCCCCAGCTGACACCAAAATGCAACATCAGAACACTGTTCRTCACTGATTGGCTRAATTTTTGCAAATGTTTAAAATTTCAAAATCAAAWGTGTTTCCAKCTCTCATTTTGCTCATTAATTTTTTTCTAAATACGTAAAAACCACCTCCACCAACYGCCCAAAACACACCCATTGGAACCGGACTGGAACGTCAGTGGAAAACCAACCGGTCCGACCCGTACCGAAACGTACCTACACCTACCGTTCCRACACTACACTAATGCTGYGTTCACACCGAACACGATTTCAGCTTCAAAATCTCAGTCAACGCTTCAAGTTGGTCACTTGTGCACTTTGAGGTCAGATGCAGGTCAGCTGTTGAAGCGCTGCACGGCAGAGCCTCCCCGCCCCTCCCTCCTCTGT